ATAAATTATAATATGAAAACATAAATATTTAGACTATATAGCTTAAATCTCATAAAATTATACATTTATATGTATTTATTATTTTTATTATATTGACCTTTCAGCCATACCTGGCTAACAATACAGAAGTTACAATGATGCGGCTCACGTGCACTCATGTTACTGTATCAAATAACATTAAACTGACCTTTGGTTTATACAAAGTAACTTGTCTTGGCTGCGTTTTAGTAGACTAGTATGTTGTAAAATACAGTCACATTTCAATTATTATACATTATATATGTATATAGATTATTGCTATTTTGAAATAAGTTCTAAAACTTATTTTTCTTAAAACATAGAACAGTAACTAAAAAATAAATCAAACAATTAACTCTTCTAGTTACGACCTTTGTACTCGGTTGCTGCTTGACGTATATTGCTAAGCTTTTATAACCTTTGCACATGGAGGATATGAAACAAAATTTTTTTTTAGGTTTTATATATACATTTGAATAACTAAAAAATAATAAATTACTACATCAATACCATAGAATTCCACTATAATTTATCAAGCTTAGTAACTAAGATGTATTTTAGTCTAAAAAAATATTAAATTTCGAGCAGAATAAAAACACTCCCTACCTCGTTGAAATATTGGTTCAAAAGAAAAAATAGCGTGAAGCCCATTAAAATGGCTGAGAAAGCCACTAGAGGACATTCTGAACTTCCGATTAGTTATTCATGTCATATATAGAAGTAAGTTATATAAGAGAGTTTCCAAAAATGGAAAGAGGTGAGTAGGATGCTACTATGTTTGATTTATTACGTAAGCAATATCTTAGCAAATACAAAAGATAAGAGGCTCTTATATTATATTCTAACTTCTCAATATTGGTAATTTGAGTTTCTAATTTGTATGAAACTATAGACTTAGTATTTTTACTTCACAAACATCTAATTTGAACCAGTACTGCATTCAACATATCATGTGACACACAAAAATCAATGTTTATCTGTGTTTTTTAATATTTGCTTTTAAATTAAGAAATTGAGTAATGTATAGTACTAAAATTTGAATTATAATCTACAGTTTTATACCAAAGTTACTGATATAAATTCATGAAATAGTAGTTCAATAAAATTTTGAATGCAAGTCAACAAATGAGATGATATGGCCTTTCACCCGTGACCCTTCTCAAAAGGGTTAAAACAAATAAGTAATTTATATCATGGTAACAAAATATTGGAAAATAATACTAACATTTTGAAAATTTGCGAAAGAATAAATTCAGCAATTAATAAGCAAACTGCACAAATAAAAACAATAATCAAATTAACTGATACAAAAAATGGGAATGAAATTAACTTAGTAGATAATCCAAAACATGGAGCAAATTAATTCAGAGAATATTTTACAACAGTAGAGAAAGAGATGGCAGAAAAAATAGGTAAGAGAGTAGGGATGGATGATTAGGGGCTACAGTGGATTAGAGATAGCCTGGTACTTGAGGGATGTATGGTAATAGACAGGGATGTAGAGTGGGCCATAAATGAACTTAGAGGATACTCAGGTCCAGGACATGGTGGCATTACTGGCAAAATACTTAAAGATAGCATTGGAAGTATAATTAAACCCATAAAACATATAGTGAACTTAAGTATAAATAATAGTGTATTCCCTGATGTATTAAAAATGTCTATTATTACCCCTATATGCAAAAATGGCAATCCAAAACTACTGTCCAACTATAGGCCAATTTCAATATTGTCAAATCTTGCTAAAGTCTTGAAGAAAATTGTTAAACAAAATTTAGTAAAATTCTTGGAAAATAAAATTATCAAGTAATCAATATGGATTTCCGTAGGGTTTAGATACTCAAGATTCGATATTGGAAGGATAGGAAGCCTGCGACCGTGTTCTGGGACCTAGTCAAAGCCTTTAATATGGTGTCGCACTCTAAGTTGATATTTAAGTTGTACAATAGAGGGGGTTATGCTAGATTGGTTTAAAAGCTACCTGCAGAGTAGACCTCAGATGGTTAAAGTAAATGGTATTGTCAGCGATCTGTTTACTTCAGGGTACAGTTTTAGAACCAGTCCTTTTTATAATATTTATAAATGATCTATGCAACTTGGCACTGGATGGATGGTTAATTGCATTTGTCAACAATACAGCCCTGCTTTGTGCGGGTGATAATTGGGAGGAGACTCTCAGTACTACAGAGTGAGAACTTAACAACAATAAGTACTGGTTAGATATGAACAGACTGTCACTTAATGTTATAAAAACAAATTATATGACATTCTTGCTCTATAATACAGGCCAGTCAACTTTCGTGGCTCTCAGCATTCATGAAAAGAACCGTACCAAATCCTACCCCAACAATTTTAACTGCTCCAAAGTCAATAGAATAGATAAAGTTAGATACCTAGGAGTCATTATAGACAGAGGCTTAAATTGGAAGCTCCATATACTTGATTTAACTCAAAAAATGTGGAAGTTAGTATACATATTTGTAACAGTCAGAGGATTTTTGTCGATAGATAAATTAAAGATATTATACTATGGATTAGTTGTCTCTGTTTTGCAATATGGAATCATAGCTATGGGAGCAGCTGCTGACTCTATATAAATGCAGTTAGCCATACTAATAGTAGGAGACACCCAGTGAAATGGCTAGATCATTCTCGTAACACACTGGGAGTAGTTAAGTGTCTGCATGAGTTACTTAGGAGAAGAACAACAGTAGGGCTTAGACATTAGCATTTTATGGGTGTGCAACTTTCTAATACACTTCTGAAACAAATACATACAATTAATAAACCAAAACAATTGAAAAACCATCTAAAAAGTATTTTATTGATTAAAAACAAGAGGTGGATAAATAAGTGGAGATAAATACATGAAAAATTATGGTGAATAACAATCAACAAAAAAAAACAACTAAGACTAAATCAATAAATTATAGAAGTAGTAAAGAATGTGATCTAAAATCTTATAATAATTTAGTACAACAGGCATCTTTATTTTTATAAATAATTATGTAATTACCAATTCACTTTAAATGGTGTCTGTTAAGTATTTATTTAATAGGCAAGCCTAACTATATTAATCTGATCATTTTGTTTCATTTGTTTTTTTAATCTGTGAAATACCTAAGTTCATATGTAGTAATACTGAGACCTCCCACAGCACAGGGAACTAATCCCTAAAGTGGGAGGTAATTTCCAATTAATTTTACTTTTGTATTAATAATGTAAAAATAACCCAATAAAGGATTTATTATTAAAAAAAAATGTATTATAATCAAAATGTGACTGTATTTTACAAAATACTGGTCCACTGGAACAAAGCCGAGACAGGTCACTTCGTAAAGGGTAATTTTATATTCTTGGATACAGTAACATGAGTGTGCATGCATCACATTATTGCAACTTCTGTAATGTTAGTCAGATACAGCTAAAAGGTCAATAAAATTAAAATAATAAATACATATAGATGTATAACTATGAGATTTAAGCTATTTAGACTAAACACTTGTGGTTTCTTTGTATAATATGTAGTCATTCTAGAACAAAAAAAAAGGTGTAATTTATATCTATTTCCTAACTGCTCAAATTGACCAAACCCATACATATATATAATAGTAAAAATAACAGATAAAATATAAAGTTTTTTCTAAACAAAAGCATTTGATAATTATCTGCAGGTTATAAAGATTTCAAATGTGAAATTTTACAATTTTCTGATGCATTAAAGTACTTTTTATCTTAAAATCAAAATTACCCTGCATGTTGGATAGTCAACACTCAAAAAGAAAAAATGTTTACTGATAATTTGCAAAATTTTGTGAAGATATACACATTGTTTTAACAGTTATAGTATGAAAACTATAACAAGCACAAAATGGTTACAAGGTCAGTCCCTGAAACTAAGCCTGTAGTGAGAGAGTTAAGCGTGTACATGGAAGTTTAGCACAACAAAATCATTTGGTTTATGGAAAGATGCACAAGAGAAAGGAAAAAAATACTGACATAAGTGTTTTTCCATGAAGCTAAATCTTATGAAAACATCTCTACAGGGCCATTGATAGAATCAAGGAAAGTAAAAAAGGTATGTCTGATATAACAAATTTAAATTTCAGTTCTAGTATGTCACTCTTTATTGTCATATCCAAAACATATAAATAACTTTCTGTAGCATTAATATTATAACTTTTGTTTTTTTACAAAAGTAACAAAATAGGAAATTACTGCTTACCTTGGTTCCATGACCTCCAACCAAAACCTTTACATTTAAGTTGCAGTTCACTACTAGTCTACAAGCTACATTCTAAAAAAAGGTAAAAAAATACAGAAATAGATGGGTTTTTGTTAATCTAACCAATAATCACTTTAAATAAATTCATAACGCCACAGGTTAGCACACTACCAAAATTCTACATTGTTTATCAGATCTAGTATTTTGTTTACTACATTATTGATCTCTCATGTACTGTTTAAAAAGGAGCTTTAACAGGAATGATGGAAGAGCAGTGAGTTTTATTTACTTGTTTGAAGATAGTATTTCCAACTACTAGCTCAAGTATTCACCAGTTTTTAAGACCATTGATAACAGCTCAAAATGTTATCTCCATACAAGTTCAAACAAGTGAATGAAGACCATTGAACCACCCAAGAACATTATACATATACATATGTAACATAAAAAAATCATGGAAATTTCTTTTCTTCTGATAAAAACACAGAAACTTACAGATAACAATATATATATATAAACATATATATATGTTAAGTTAATAACAGGACCTACCCCAATCTGCTCCACTAATTCTCTGCTTGGTGCAATAATCACAGCTCTTGGAGAATTGACAACTGGATCCTGGTGGTAAAGTTGTTTTTTGACCAACAGCTGATGTATAATTGGAGCAAGGTAAGCAACTGACTTCCCACTACCAGTCTCAGCACAACAAAGGACATTTCGATGACTTCGAATATGGGGTATGGCTAGCTCCTGAAAATTATTATTTTTTGTCTTAGTTGAATTGTATTTGCTTCATCATCCTCAATTTGCTCAAGGTTAAGAATTCAAAAGCCTTTTAAGGACTTTTAATTTCTTGGTGGTATAAAATATCCATGTGTTTGTCTTTATAGTCACTAACCAATAAATGTTTACTGATAACACTATTTACAAATGTGTCTGTTAAGATACTAGCTTTACATAATATCATAACCAAATGATTAAAGAAATACATGTATTTTAACTCTCCTAAAATTTGTTTTTCATTATACAGGCTTACAAAGTGAGCGAATAGTGGAATTTTCCCTAAGAGGTTTGAATTTAAAGCACAAATGATTGTATAAGAAAAACAAGATTGTATATCAATTTATCTTTAATACAGTAATAATTTCTTCATTTCTGAAACCAATGAACCAAAATCCCAAACTTATATTAAATGTAGCTTCTTATAAAAACCTATCAGCCATGGAAATATACATATATATATACATGTAACAGCACAACCAATGTCATTAAGTAAAGCATTCCGTAAGTTTATAACTACCAAAATAGTAATTCTGCCTCAAAACAAGTCTAAGTTGGGATTTCCAAAGATTATTAACTTATTACCCAATTTTAAATTCTCAGTTACAATCTTATTTTTCTAACTCTGAAACAGACCTTCCATGAGTAATTCCACTAACAATTTTAAAAACCTATATTAAGTTACTTATCATTTTCTTAAGTTCAAATAAAAATAAGTCTAAAACTTAAAATTCTCTTGATAGTTTAAATATCTTAAATGATTTATCCTTTTAGTAGTACTTTCTACACATTTTTTAGTAAATCAACGTTCTTACTACAACAAAAGCTTGGCTGCATTATTACATAGTTAAGAATACCTACTTACACTTTATATAAATATTTCTCTGCAAGATAATCCAGAACAATTCTTGTTCTTTTCATTGCAAGGTAAAAACACTCACTTCTGACATATTTCACTTAATGAACTTGTATAAATACTTTTAAATATTGGTACATACTTATAGAAAAACATATCATTGAACTTGTTTCTATCTCTATATAAAATTATTGCACCTGTATAACAGTAGGAGTCTGAAAGCCTAATTCTGAAAGTCCTTTTAGAAGAAGTGGGTGAAGGTTTAGATCTTGAAATCCAAGTTTTTCTCCTGGCTCTTCTATCTCACCATCTGATGACAGATTAGTATTTAGTAGTGAAGGGTTCTGTAACAAAAAATGACTTTCTGATAAAGATCCTAATTGGTGTATTTTAGTATGATTTCCAATATCTAGTATGCAATAAATTACTTACACACACAAACCTGGTTTACACCATAATAAAAATAATTTTGATGTGATGTAATTCCATTTTATGTCTTATTTTTATGCTTTCTCATGTTTCAAAGATGGCATTCAATATTTTAACAGTGTTTTTCCATTAGAAAAAAAAAGTTTCTCAAAAGAAATGTTCTGTAAATTACAATTAAATTCTGTAATTAAAAATTTTTGATTTAATTCATACATAATATTTTGAAATTTATAATTAAGGGATTAAGGAAAATCACTATATACATGTGGCTTCATAGCACAAGTAACTGTTTTCTTATTTATGTTAACATACTGATAACTTCTTGAAATGTTGTGATTCCAATTTTGCTGATTATACTAAAGATTCTTAAAAACATTAATACTGGTCAGGAAAACCTGGACAGTCTTGGTAACTTGGGCTAAAAATTTGTTTCAATACTGAGATAAGTAAATAGGGAAAGATTTACAGCTGTGTGATAAATACCAACGTATTGTTCAAAAAAAAAGAAATCAGGTGTGACTGTGGGGAAAAAAAACGCTTGAAGTCTTCTATTTAATGTTAAGCTGTGGTAAATGAAGTATCAGAAACATGAAATCAACTTGGAAAAATTTAAATTCAAGAGTTAATGTTAAGAGTAATGAGACCTTATCTAGAAAACTGCAAATAGTTCTGAGCCCCTTATTCTGGAAAACATCAATATGCTGGATGGTAGAAAGAAAGGACATTAAATTTATATATGGTTTAAAACACTTGAACTATAAGAGTAGGCTTAAAAATTTGGACTCAATAATTCAGATATTAGAAATTGTTAGGGATTCTGTAATTTTTTTTTTTGGGGGGGGGGGGGGTCAGCTTGCATGAGAAAATAAAAAAGGTTGAAAATAATAATCTGATTATTTAAGCTCCACAAATCTTTTTTGGAATTATAATCATATGGAATATGTTTGACAGATGAGGAGGCATTTGCTTTTAACTTCTTTTAACATCTTGTAGTTGTTATATAAAGAGTATGAAAAGCTACATTAAATCTTGGTTGTGATATTTTAGTTGGATGGTTTAGAGTCAAGGACTAACTTCGACAGATTCATTGGGCTTTGGTCACCTTGATTTCCCTTATATTCTAATGATAAGAAAGGTTTTTAATTCCTCTAATAAAAAACAAATAAATTATTAACTAGCTTTTCAAAGAAACAAACTCATGCTATTAAATGTTTTTTGTGAGCAAAATATAAATCTTGGGAGTATAAAGTAATGAAAACTAAACACCAATAGTTACTCTTCTGATGAGCATCATGTGCAAAAATATTATTTTTAGTTAAAAATAAAAGCACTGTTCACACACATTAATTAATGATGATATACTTAATCAAACATATGCAATAGAAAATATGTCACTGATTTTAAACATTTCTATTTTGAATAACAAAATTTTAAAATTTTGTTCACCAAGATTTTACATGTGTTTTCAAAAATAGACATTAAAAACATTTATTTGTTCTTGGTGCAAAATGAACCACAACCCAAAACTAATGTAATCCATATATGAATCTGTCCAGGGTTTTCAACAAATTCTTATTGTAAGAGCTATGCAATTTTACTACATCTGCACTAATAAGTAAACATACGGTGATGTTAACCCTATGGAGACAGGTACCCTTTCCTGCACATGTCAAGAGGTTTTACTTAGTTATATTCAAAATTTACATTATAGTTCAAAGTTTTATTTTATCTAAATTTTAATTTCTTTATTTCAAAAGAAAATTCATAAACTTTAGTTATCTTGTCACATGATGTACAAGTTCACAGAGTCTGAACTTTTCGTCTCTGTAACTTGAATGTACACAACACTTCTATGTATAGACAAAAACTAGGTTAATTGCTCTATTTACACATTTTTCATTCAAGCTCCTTAAGTCACATTTGGAGAAAAGAGAAATAAGTTTCTTGGAAGTCTTGACAGAAGCCACCCACACTTTCTACAGAAATATTCTTGATTTCTCAGCCAATTATACTTATTTGGGCTAGATATTTATAACCAATAAAAAAGCACATTTCAAAGTACAATTTCCCAACAGTTATTTTAAATTGGCTCAAATAATTCCATAGAGAACTAGTCAAACCGCTCTTAGCATTTTTTCTATTTTTGTCTTTGTAAGCACTTTAGTGTTGTTTCTCATCTACAAACATGTTAGTTAGATAGATTGTAATTAGGTTTTTGTTATATATTTTAGTTAATTATCTGATATTTATGTTTTAATATACACATTTGAAAGGATTAATAATATATAAATTTAAACCATCTTGTCCATGGTTCACAAGGGTTAGCAAGTTTCTCAGCCCATGACATAATATTAGCCGAAGATGCCTACAGCCGCGTGTCGCTATAAAAATAACGATGCTAAAGGACAATAAAACATAAAATTAAATTATATGTGAAAATATAAAGACATGCAATTAAGAATATAATCAAAAGAGGATGTTTCACAATTATTTGATGAAAAATAAAAGGTATGTACATATTTTTTAATTTCAAGCATTTCATTGCACTATAACATTGATGATAATAGCTACAGTTAATGATATGGTAGAGAAAATAGAAACATTTATCTCAAAAACCTATGCTATTATTTAGAAGGTTCTAGAAGTTATGTAAATGAAATCTGAAAACTATAAGATGGAAAAAAAATATTTTTATACATAACACGAACATCAACTTGCATTTGAACAACTCAAGTGTCTGAGTGCAAATAACTGCAATAAATAAATAAATTTTATTGGAAATACTTGATAAAAATCTCATTCTTGGTATACAAAATATTTGTAATCTTTAACAAAATCTTACCAATTTTTATAAAGGCAAGTTAAGAAAGCTCAGAGTTATCAAAAATATTGTTGAACTGTGTATCATTCTCCATACAATCTATGCTCATTGGGTACTATACTGTCTCCATAGAATTAATCTATAATGCAGTTATAGTGAACCTGCACATTTAACCAAAAAAAGTAAGAAATCCAGTTGCTTGAAGTAAACTAATGCAACATTTTACTTGTGCAATAAATTCATTTTTTTAGTTCTTAGAATTACTGATCCATTACTTAAAAGTTATAATCTTCCTACACTGAAAATATATTTCTGATGGGTACTTACCTCAACTTACATAATATCTTTTCTTGTTCAGTGCTGCCATCTATCTATATGCACATTTTTTTGCATGCCACTAGCTTTGAAACTCTCACCTACCCCACAATCAATGTGGTTCACTGCATCTGCACATATAACTTATCACTCAACAACCCACCACCAATAGGAGGGCAACGCAACCTCCTGATGCACATTAGTCCCTCTGTTCAATTCCACCTAACCATCACTTCGAGATTAGGCAGAAATTAAGCACCAGTAGTGGGGAGGAAGAGTGGGAGGAGGTAAGTACCTATCAGAAATATATTTTTAGTGCAGAAAAATAATAACTTTCAATAAAGTACCTTACCTCCACTCCTCACATAATAGTCACAATCCCACATTGAAAAGGACAGGTGGGAGGAATATAGATATGCATCCTTCAAAAGTATCCAAAGAACACCCAAGTAATGTGAACCAGGTATACTCTTCCCCCAGCATCATAGTATGTGTTGCATAAATGAGCAGAAATTGTGAAGAGCACATCCAATAAATGAGAGCAAAAAATCGGGGGTGGTCTGACCCCAAAACCCACTGAAATCACAATCCAGAAAAAGAATGAATGTAGGGTCCCCAGCCACAGACCAGATAGTGAGGAAAGCTAAAAAGGATGTGCCCTTTGGTGTAGAATGGCTAGGGTGCATGGTAGTCCAACTCAAGTCCAAAACCAAGCAGCACTGGGCATACATCTTCTGACCCATAGTAGGAGGAGGGTCCAAACTGTTTTCACCTCAAATTGAAAAGAATGGAAGAAGAAAATTCTGTACTGGTAGATAAGACAGAGTACATGTGCACAAATCCACCATCAACACCAGCCATATAAGAACCCAATATCCAATTGATGGTAGGAAGGGACGTGCTTCTGTGACTGTTCACTTTAAATCCAAAATCCTTTGGACCAGTTCCACTCTGTGCAACATCAGCCTCAGTGAGTGAACCTCACTGAGGTAGAGTGCCAGAGGGCCTACATATGCCCTGTGCAACATCATCCTCTGGATAGGACCTCAGAGAAGCTGGAGCATATGGATGACCAGCTGACTCCCTGAAGAACCACAGATTTGGGATGAATCGAGTCAGATTTGAGCAACATCAACTATGGGATCCATCACATTGAGGTGGAGCTCATTAGGCAAAATTCCATGACTAAGGTAGGATGAGAGATCATGATCAACACATCTGTGAGGACTTATGTTGATTAGTCATGCTTGAATCCAAAACTCTCACTGGGAATCAACATCCAGTCAATGATAGGACAAGAAATCCCAAATGGAGGGATGAACTGCAATGTGGCAGATCTACTCTAACTATTTTATTATACAACTGGGATTCAAGTAGATGATCTATGTCATCTACACCAGCAGAACATCACAACCCTACTTTCTACTGAACTGAGCACATTCAGGAGGTTGCCTCCATAGTCCATCTCCCCAGCAACTAAGAACTGATAAGCGGCACAGACTCTCACACTCCAAAAGAAGAAAGGGGAGGGGAAACGTGGTGAGGAGTCCAGAGGAACTGACACCAGAGACAGTGCTGTGGGTAACCACGAAATCCTCATTTTGAAAAGCAAACTGCCCCTGATTTATTCATTCAAAAGAATCTGCTTTACCCATGGGTATTACAATTTAGAGCAAGCATTCTGTTGAAGCAAAATATCATGAGTAAAATCAACTACCAGTCTTATGGAACATCTCAACAGTTTGTGTTATTTGTTGAAACAGTCTCCACTCGAAGATAAATTTGATGTGACATCCCATACATCCCTTGCCACACTATCCCACTCAATATCATTCTCTCAGGCTCAACCCCACCGAGGTGAGCACCTGGAGTAGAAGGATGTAACCTGCATAACATCATCCCCTGGATAGGACTGCACAGAAGATGGAGTGCATGGATCACCATCTGATGTACCAAGCAACCACAGTTTGCAGGACGAGCAGAACTGGGACAGCACAACATCAACCCCTTGGACCCACCACACGAATGTGAAGCAACTGAGTCGTGAGGTGGCTGATAATATATGCTTGTATGGCTTATGGTCAGCTGTACAGTGTGGAATTTTGTAATATATAGATAAGTAGCATACCTGGAGTGGCAATGCTCGTCACTGAGTAGGATCCCAGACCTAAAAAGGAATTGCTTATATAAGCAAAAGCAACATATAGGAAAAACTAATCTTATCATGTCACAGTTCAACCAATGTTTGAAGTATAGCGACATGCAGTACCCTGATCAGGAAGGAACAGCACCTGATGAAGGTAATGGGAGATTACCATGTGATGTGTCATCCACATGCCTGAGAGAACCATTTGCTCCAATGGATGATGAAGGGGAGATGCCAGAGAAAAGTACCATATCTGATGTGATGTCACCTGGAAAAACATTCTGGGACAAAGAAGGCAGGGAAGAATACACCAGTCTGATAAGCTGAAGAACCCAACCTGGTGGGAACAAAAAAGGCTATATCGAGAATCACAATAGGAAACTATGCAAGCAATATTACAATGAAGAGCATGGATGGGGCATAGAAGTTTATCCGGATCATACCTAGAATAAAGGTGGGAAATGGTGGGAAGGGAAATTGGCATGAATGAAAATTTTTTCACATGAGCTGTTGATGTTGTGGACAGGAAAGATCAATTAGAAAAAAGGAGAACATAAGAGAATTGAAACAGAGTACATGAAATGTTGATGGCAAAGATATCTGACTGATAACACCCACAGGCTAAAAGGAGTAGGAAATAAGTCTTAAGGGATAAGTAATACATGAAACAGGAGGCCAATGGTTCAAATGGAGGGAGTATGAGAAAGTGAAGAAAAATATTAACATTCCAGTCCAGAAGAACTGCCTGATGAGAAGGTCGATGAATCTAGAAGGAATGCAATAAAAGGGAGATAGTAGGAGAGGAAAACACAACATGGTACCTAAAAAGATGGAAGGTACTTGACAAGGTTGTTCAATGACCCACAATGGATGAGACAGAAGCCCTATGATTGAACAGCCAGGTAGGAAAATCCATAAGGAGAGGAAAAGTGAGCCTAAAAGGAGAAACCCTATGGCATAAGGACCAACGATGGAAGACATTCCACTTATATAAACCATAACGAAGGAAGCATGAACAGAATGGGCTAAATGGGAAGCGATACAAGTGGACAATCAAGATCTCCTTGCAAGGATAAATGCTAGTTGTGAAATCTGAGGGTGTGAAGGGTGGGATGAAGGTGACTGAGGTTGATGGAAGAGGGTTGGAGTGAGAGGAAGAGGTAATGAAGGGATCATTTGCAGCTGAAAGAGAAGAGGAAACCAAGTTTGAGCTGGCCAGTAAGGAGCAGTTGGAAGGACCAGAGATGGAGTGGAGTGGATGACTAAAATCACCCTGGAAAGGAGCTAGATAAGAGGATAGGCATAAAGGTACCAGTTGGTCCAGTTCTGATTGAGAGCATCCACTACAGGAACCTGTGTATGAGGAACTGGAGACTAAAAATGAGGTAACTTGGTGTCGCATACAGTGGCAAAAACATCCAGATGAGGAGTACCCCACTGATTGGAAAAGAAAACCTGAGGGAACACTCTGTGGGGTAAACCTGATGGGTCGAAAAAGTTTGTTTTGAATTACCTGGAAAGCTACACAAGAGCTATTGGCATTAGCCATCCCCACCCACCAACAACTCTTATGCTACTCTCTTACCAACAAATAGTGGGATTGATCATCACATTATAATGCCCCCATGACTGAAAAGGCAAGCATGTTTGGTTGGACTGAGATTCAAAACCGCAACCCTCAGATTGCAAGTTAAGCACCCTAACCACCTGGCCATGCTGGGCCAATCAAGAAATATCCCGGAAAGAAGCATCAGTGAACAGATGCAAGTCCAAACACCATAGTGTTGACTTTGTTCAAGCACCAATGGAAATAATTGAGAATGGAAGGAGGGAGGGTAAGTGAGGAGTTCATTGGTCATGCAACATACATTGAAGAAAACGTATATGCACACGACCTAAGAAGCCCAAGTCCCCAAAAGCAATAGAACTTTGTGTGCAGAAAGAGAGGGAGAGTAAATGGCATTGAAAACTGAAAGCTCCATCACATACAGACGTAATGGAGAAGGTTGGACCTGACTAAAGTAAATGTTGAAAAAACACATCAAAGTGGATAAGATATTGAGTAGGAATCAGGAAAGACTTCATCTTAAAACTCCAACCAACATGAGCTGCTCCTGTCAAGAGCATACGAGCATGTTGAAAAGACACCAGTTCAGAAGGAGCTAACAGAAGCCAGTTGTCCATGTAGTGGTGGAAGTGCAATCCTCGAGCACGTGTAAGTTAGGTGAAAGCTTTGACCACTCAATAAAACACACAAGTTGCTGAGGCAAGCCCAAAAGGTAAAGCATGAAACTAAAACACAACTCCATTATAGACAAATCGAAGATAGCTTCTGGTCTGAGGGGAAATGGGAATATTTAGGACAGCATCTGAGATGTCTACCTTGCTCATCCACAGATCTGGAGAAATAGCCCACTGAAGGGTGAGAAAAGATTCTAGGGTAAAGATCCAGAAAATGGTTGAGGTGGGACAGATTGATCATGGTCTTCTTGGGGATGACAAAAAGGCTGGAGTAAAATCTGGGAGAAGGAAGACTTACTAGCCCTATAGCACACTGTGAAAGAAGAGCCTATACAGCCTTGGAAATATGCTGACTGGTAGTGGGATCCTGAGGTAATGGAAAATATACTGGGATTGGAAACAATGGAGGTGGGGAGAGGAATTATAAAAAAAGTCCATCTCTCAAAAACCAGGAATTGAACTCTCGCCACATGTGAACAAAATTAGACAAGCCATTGGATAGTCACCAGAACTGTTGATGGCACTGAGTACAACAGCAAGCCAAATGATGAACCAATGGACCCCTGGAGTAAGGAACAGGCAATGGATGGGAAGGTGAAGGATGAGAAACAGGTATAGAGGATGGTACGCAAGCAGGCTGAAACAAACAAGCAACCAAAGAAAACAGGTTTGAGTATTGCCTCACAGATTCCACACATAACTCCAGAGATTTAGAAGTATCTCCAAAAACAGACCAATGAAGAAAAGAAGCCACCCTCAAGTCCAGAAGATATGTGGATGGTAGATGAACCTGATACAATACAACATCCCTACCAACAGCAAAGAAACTACCTGTGAAGGGATAGGGCCAAGGAGGATAATCAAACCAATTTGGAGATAATGAGAGAATGGATATCCCCTGAAAATCCCTCAGGGGATCATTAGAGAGCCTCAGAAAAGAGATGGGTAGATGAAGATACTATAGGAGGGATGTAAGGGTAAGACGACAGCAAGAAAACTGGGCTTGGGATAAATTTATAGGATTCTCAGGATCTGCTCCCCACACAGACGAAAGTGACTCCAGTTACTGGGGTTTGAGAAAGGGATTATCAGCCTGATGGTACGCCAATGCATCGTGATCAGAAGCCCTTGGTGGATGAGGCATGCTAACACGAGCCCTCAACTGAGAAACAAAATGCTCAGCATGGACGATGTCTAGAGAAGGAGGGAAGACAAGGTAATCAGACAATTGGGCAGTGTGTAACAGGGAAGGGACAGAATCATACAAAACTGGGGTTACAGATAAAACTGAGAACTCGTATCCAAAAAGGCTGAGAGAGGCCTGGCTGATTCGTCAGAAGAGGCATGGGTATGCATGGCATAGGTAGGTGGAAAAAGGCTGTCAAAAGCATTCTTGTCATGAACAGGTTCTACAGGAGAAGCCCGGATATTGTCGGGAGAAGAGGGCTGACTCACATAAGGGTCAATCTCCCTATGAATGATGGCCAAAAAATCCTCAGCCAAAACCCCTGCTCCTGAAGCCTGTGTCATAACATTTAAAGGAGTAATAATAGGAGCTGAAGTTGTGACACAAAATGCAAAGTTCATAATCAAATGTGAACAAGTCAAAATCCAAAAAAAAAGTAGGAAACAAATGTAAGTTTCCTTGGCAATAAACTACAATGAACAAACTGAAAATACATTACAGCACTAGTTCAAAAAAAGTAGTAAATTATTGTGTAAATCAGCATGATTTCAAAAGAACAGCATTAACCATCTGTCTAACTAGAAGTTATGGTTAGGTGGAATTGAATAGAGGGAGTAATATGCATCAGGAGGGTGTGTTGCACTTCTATTGGTGGAGTGTTGTTGCATCATAATTTACATGTGAAGATGCAGTGAACTACGTTGATCATGGTATAAGTGGGAGTTTCAAGGCTAGTGGCATATTAAAAAATTGCACATAGAGGGCAGCACTGAAAAAGAAAAGCTATTATGTGAGTAGAGGTAAAGTATCTTATCAGAAGTATATGCTAAGTTTACAGAGTCATTTGATCTGACAAACAAAACTTGTCTATGTTTGTACTATAAAACTGTAAATACATAGAAAGTCACAGGTTACATCTTGACAAAACTGTATGAAAGGAAAGCACTTTCTGATAATGTATATATATAAAAATTATATCTTGATACTCACTTCCCCAAATTTATGAATAGTGAAATAATCACCTCGAGATTTGCGATGTTTCCAGCCTTGAGATGCTAGAAGTACCTGATCGTACTTTGCATAGACTTGACCATAATAAAAATTAAACTCACGGCGCTTACAAGTAATGATAGGAAAGTTCTGATTTCCTTGACGGCTCTTTCTTCTTATCTCCTCTAAACGTTTTGCATCTTTCTTCTTTTTCAGTTTTTTCAAAGGCTTTTCTAAATACACTGGAACTGTTATCACTGGCAGAGTTCCACTGAACTACAATATAAGTTGCAACACAATAATAAACTTAAATCTAAAATTGGCAATGTTTATATTAGCTCTAAATTATTTGAAATATGAACAAAATAAAGATGCTTAATCCTAACCCTTAGTATGATTTTGTGAAGAATCAAATTAATACACACCACTGGCTGTCAGCACCAGCCATTACTAGTTCATTCCAATGTAAGAGCACTAACAAACAGAATATAAGTAGTCATAGCCAAAGACTCTCTAGATAATAAATAACATTTACTGCATAATTATCATATTATATAACACTTTAAACAACCTGGTCAACATTGCAGAACAGGTACAAACACAACAAAAAACATCCCAGTCATGGAACCAACTCTCTACACACCAGTGTTTGTGTGCATAAAAGTTCTGGCTGTGCAGCAATCTTTATATCCAATAGTTGTGTGTCACATGACCTCATTCTACATAAAAGACCACATTACATTGAAATTATAAAGTACAAGGTTATTTTCTGTAAAGACAATTCAGAACACAATAATCAGGTTTTTAATATAACAGTGTTTCAGGGTAAAATAATTAATTATTACTATTAAAATAATAATAAATCATAATAATTACATAACAAATATAAAACTATGTATTTGATCTCTAGTGGCTTCATAATGTTTACGGAACTAATAAAAATTAAGATACTGAAACTGATAATGAAAACACCGACCCATTCACAGAAAATTGACATTCTAAATGCTCACAATGTTTTAAGAAAATAAACCAAAGTTTTTAAATAAGCCTAATATCAGTTTTTTATAAATAATAGATAATAAATCTTATAGCAAAATAAGTTGTATATTAATAAAGTTATAATTTTCCTACAACTGAAAATGTATTTCTGATAGGTATTTACCTCGTTCAGTGCTGTCCTCTATATGCAAAATTTGTTTAACACATGCCACAAGCCTTCTATCTCTCCTCCATTGGAATTGACTGATTCCAATGCATCTCTCATGATGCCTGTGACTACCTCTATACAATTCTACCAAACTATCATTTCGAGTTTCAGCAGAAGATGAAAACACCAGTTTTCAGTGGTAAGGAAGGGTGGGAAGTGTTAGAAGAAATGCATTTTCAGTGTAGGAAAATTATAACTTCTGATAAGGTACATTACCTACTCTCATATAAGTTACTAAAATTCCATATTGAATAGGTGGAGGGACTGGTACGAGGGAAAGAAAGAAGCATCTTTAGAAAGCATCCCAAGGACACTCCCTAAGATGATGTGGGGAACTGCACCACTTCTGAACCAGATATACTCTTCACCCATCGTAGAGAGATGTAACATATATAGGCAGAAAACAGAGGAGCACATCCAACTGGGAGAGAACTATGATCATAAAGTGATCCGAATCATGCAATATTTATGAAACCTAATTCCAGAAAATATAAAAGTGGGTAAAATGAAAAGGATGTGCCTCTAAGTGCAGAGTGGCTAAGACGTGACGGACCATACCTGGCAAGTCAACTACACCCAAAACCTATGCCACTGGGAGCCAACATCATTGCAGGAGTAAGATGAGAATCATACCACCGGCAAATAGACTACAATCCAAAACCCAGGCCACCGGGACCCGACACCCATGTAGAGGTAGGAAAGAGGTATCAAAAAGATGTCTACATAATGTAAACCATCTCCCTCAAAAGTGAAATTGACCAGAACCACCCCAAGCACATTAACATCCTCATAATAAGAAAGATCGAGGAATAGTGGAAGGGAAAGAACTGCAACAATCTGCATTTACCTCCACTGTGACCCACAACACTGATGGAGTATAAATGAGGGAGAAATATAGACATCTGTAATACATGTGTGAGGACTTATGTTGATTGGTTCTACTTTCAATCCAAAACCCGGGCCAATCGCAACCAACATCCATGTGGGAGTAGGATGAGGGATCCCAAACAAAGGGGGTTAACTGCAATTTTGATGTCTCACTCTCATTTGTTTTTATGTTTCATATTGGAGGATATCATGTCATCTACACCAGAACACCACCACCCTACTCTCAACTGAATGGTTTCATAATCATTTCTATTTTTGTTTGTATTTCATTAACCCATTCAGGAGGATGCTTCCATGGTCCTCCACCCCAGGAGCTTTGAACTGGAAAGTGTTAAGGACTTTAAAACTTCAGTAACATAAAAGGGGGTTAAATTTGGTGGAGAGTCTGGAGGAACAACAACACCTGAGACAACGTAATGGATGACCATGAAACCCCATTTTTAAAGCAGACCATACCAATTTATTCAATACAAGGCATGGCAGGGATGGTAGGTATCTCCTTCTGCTTTACCCATGTAGTCCATGGGTGGGTATGGTTCATGATGGGCAAACTTATGTAGCAATTCTATTGCAAGGATATACCTGCAAGCGATCTTGTTGCACACCCCATCTCTGCAGTGTGCATTGCATGGCCATGGAATTATAATATGCAAGTTGACATGGCTTGACAATGGAGATTTGAACAGTTAAAGAATACCTGGTCAGGCACCACCCACTACAGAGTGGGATCCAAACAAAGAGCATTAATAAAAGAGAACAGGGCTCCTGAAAAGGAAAAAAAAAAACTTACCAAGTCAAAGTCTCACTGAATTCTGATATTCTACAATGGCTACAGGTGGAAGACCATAACCTGAAGAGTAAGAAAACCACAATCCAATGCAACTAGTGAGAAATGAACATATCATGGGTAGTCTACATGCCTGATTTAAGAAGTACCTCCAAAGGTCGACGAAGATGAAATGGTAATTAAAAGGTAAGGTGTCAAATTGAGTGAGAAGACACTTGAAACAAAGTATGGGAAGAAGACGATAAAGAGGAAGAAGTCAAACCCAATTGGTGAAGGAGGAAGGAGAAAGAACACAAACAGAGGACAGTTGCCAAGGGAGAAAGAGGCAGGAACAGACACCACAGAAGGAACCCATGGAGGCAATATGACAGAGAAAAGCCCATACAGTACACAGAAGTCTATCTGGATTAGGGCAAGGATAATGGTGTGAAATGGAAGGAAGGGAAAGCAGCTAAACAGGAAAAGGAATAGGGGTATATCATGGCTCCAACTGTGACAAACGTGCAACCAAAGAGGAAGGGGTCAAGTGTTGACACACAGATTATACACAAGATTCCAAAGTCACAGATACATAATCGAAAATATATCACCAAAGAAAAAATACAGAAATCCCAAAAAGAAAGAGGTGGCAAATGTACCCAGGACAAGGTTGCATTGCAACCCAGAAAATCCAAACTACATTGAAACCACATGTGTAAAGTGAAAGCGAAAGACAACAAATGGGCCAACATGGAATCATAGAAAAATGGGGAATTGGATAAAACATAACATACCTGAGAAATCATGTCAAAAAATGCTGTATTAGGTCTACCTGATTCTGCAGAAAGGGTAGGGAAAAACACAGAAAATCTGGTGGTGTGAAAAGGCTATTAATTCATTATCGGCCCAAACAGGTTTGGCTTCTTCAGGAGGATTAGTGGGGCAAGTTCAGGAGAAGAAGGTTGACCCATATAACAATCAATTTCACAGCAAATAAATTCAACAAAGAGTCTCCTGCAGCTGCAGCCTATGAAAATAGTGCTAGAGGTATAACACTCGAAGTGAGAACAGGAATCTCAGAATTCATTGTCAAAATACGTAAATCAAACAAAAGTATTTGATGTAAAATATGCGAATGTGAGAAAAAACAAAACAAGTACCGAGAAATTAAGTTAAAATATTTCTTCGATGTAAAGAAAAAATAATAATGAAGAAATCCCAATTCAGAAATTAAACTATTAAAATCACGATTCATACAAAGAGCACCAGAAGAAAAAACGTCTGAACACGAATACTGCCAAACAAGAAGTGATAGTTCAGTAGAATTGAAGAGGGAGTCACATGCATAATGAATGTCACACTCTTATTAGTGGAGGGTTGACGCATGATGATTTGCATGAGAGATGCAATGGAATCAGTCAATTCCAATGGAAGGGAGATAGAAGGCTTGTGACATGCATAAAAACTTTTTTTGCTTATAGAGGGCAGCACTGAACAAGAATAGCTATTTATGTGAGTGGAGGTAATGTACCATATAAGAAATATTTATGAACAATTACTACAAACATACAAGTAATCTACCTACTGATAATGTATATTCAGCATGCATCATGCCTACCTGTCTGGAACAGCTACTGTGAACAAGTTTTACAAAACTATTAGTAAGTTTAAGCAACATCGTAAGGAATATGTGGGTGATCTTTTCTCAGGTAACATCAAAAACAACAGGAAGAATTTCTGAAAAAAAAAAATTGCTATATCAAATTTACATACATGTTAATAGAAATTATTTATTAAATTTTCATATGATTAACAAAATCTTAAATCAAGGCTCAATTTAACCAGTATTGCATCACAATTTATAATCCAAAAATAGCATACACACTAATCAAATGCATGTATGTATTTCCTGTAGTTTTCAATCAAATAATTTGTCAAACATTAAACTATGAGAAAGAAAGCCACTAAATCATCATGATTTGTAATTTTAGTTAGACTGCTCTCTTCACCATGGTTTGTAAACTTGTTGATCATGAGATCTGATGAAGTTCTTTAAATTCTAGCCAGATGATATTTACACTAGTTATTTGTTGAACATGTGTCAAAAGCTGAAGCTACGCCTTTGTGGTAACATTCGTATGATTCCAATAAAAAAATTATTATTTTTTTCAAATAAAATTTGATTGTGGCAATTAGGTGTGGTCTATGCAGTAAGTATGAATCATGGCTAAACATGATCAGGTATAGTTTTATTGGGGCAATATGAATATCTGCACTTAAAAAATGGACAATTTTGTGAAACTCAACTGCAATGAACATTTGTTGGCAGTATGACTTGACTGGGGTTTCCAGACCATGAAACAATACAACCAAAGGCCAGTAGTCCAACAGAGAAATACTAATAAACAAAGGTACGGAACATTATTTAACTTTTTACATTCTTCATGATATATGGATGTGGATTTGGTTTATCTGAATTTTTACAAAGCATCTGACAAAGTGCTAAATAAAAGGTTTGTTAAACAATATTACCTCTAAAAGCAGGGTGATAAGCTGGCTCATTTTACAGAAGAGTGGCTAGATAAAAAAGAAAGTAGAGGGTTGTCATAAATGGATTTCAGTCAACTTGATAAGGGACACATGTGACATACCTCACAGCTCAGTGTCAGGAACTTCAGTCTTTTGTGATTTACATCAATGACACATATGAAGAAATGGTCAATAACTTGCATTTGTTGATGATATTAAGGTCTTGGATTTTGCTGGCTGTGAGGATACTACTGTTGTTGTACAAAACAATTTCCATTATTTGGTGAGTTGGGTGAATAAATGACATATGGCTTTTAATTATTATAAATGTACAGTAATGAATGTGGTTTATCCTAATTCATAAGTATGATTTTGATGGAATAACCTTAACAGTGTGTATGGAAGGAAAAAATCAAGACTGTTCTGGCTGATCAGTCTCTTAAGCCATCCAAGCAGTGTGCTGTTGCTTATTTTAGGGCAAATAGTATTTCAGGTTGTGTTACACAAATACTGAATACAAGACTAAAGAGGTTATAATTTCATGTATAGCTTACTGGTAAGGCCACATTTGGAGTATCGTGTTCAGTCTTGGGGTCCTTACCTTAGGAAGGACTATGAATTGTTAGAAAGGATTCAGAGATACTAGAATGATACCGGGATGGAAAGGTTGTCATACAAGGTCAGATTAGGATCTATGAAATGGTTTACTCTTTAGAAAAGAAGAGTTAGAGTGGACGGATAAATATTTCTGAAATCGTTTTTCTCTTTAGAAAAGAAGAGTTAGAGGGGATCTGACTGAAGTGTACAAGATTGTTCAGTCAACTTGATAAATGTTACATGTGACATATCTCATGGCTATGACTCTATGACTCTCTTAAGGTAGCCAAATGCCTCGTCATCTAATTAATGACGCGCATGAATGGATTAACGAGATTCCCACTGTCCCT